CACATGGAAACCTTCAGTCTCAAGACACACTTGCTGCTTCTATATGTTCCTCCTTTCTCTTTACTTTTTCTCTTTTTTATCTCTTCACCTATTGAATGCCCCCGAATGGCTTCTGACCCACTAGACCCTACTTGCATTACACTAAATGCCAAGGGTTTGAACTCTCCTATTAAGTGAAGTAGTGTCACGTATTCATCTGCACATAAAAATGTGATTAATGGCATTTACTGTCCTGACAGGAAAAGTTGTGTTGAGCAGCAATTAATGCACAGGAAAAGTTGTGCCGAGCAGCAATCAATCCACAGGAGGGTTTGTGCTGAGCAGCAATCATGCAAATAGGAACATGGTAACTGCCTTTGGGGTCAAAGGCCGGTTACAACCAATCAGATCCACAGGCGGGGTATTTAGGCCCAGTTCTCATCCTGCTCAGTTTCCCTTGTGGTTGTCCAAGAGCGCATTATTGATTCTGGTTATTTGACTTTAGCATTAATATTGACTTCCCTATTTTCTGGCATCCCTGACCCCTGCCTTTTCCTTATCATTGTATCTCTTTCTGTATCCCTTGACCTCGACTATTTCAGACTATTGTTTGGTACATTAGACCGGCCATTCTAAGATCCGGTATCAGTCCTCTGTGTTACACAATTCTACGTGCTTGATCATAATGTAATCCTGACAGGTAGAGCCCTCCAAGGCTGTGGGCCCTGAGGGTGTCGGGGACTTCTTCCAGGAAATGTGTTTCCACTCACCCTGGGCTCCCCTCTTTTCAGATCGACGTTTCTCCCAGGCCTTCTTCACTAGCAACCCACAAAACTCCTCCTGCGGTGGGGTGACATTGTTCTCAGCATCGACCCCCTTCATTCCTGTCTTGGAAGCCACTTAACTAGATAGCCATTACCAGTTTGTAAAGGGGACTATTAAAGACTTTCTTTAAAGTTTTGCTAACGTGTATTTCCCTAACAAAAAACAGAAGCCCTTGTATGCTAAGACACAGCATCTCTTAGAGTCCTTTCGAGAAGGAATATTAATTGTTGAGAGAGTACACACCTCATCTGGACACTCCCCCATATTGCACAAACAGCAGCTCAGAGATTGTTGGAGGACAAATCTCACCTGCAAAGTTTTCACCTTCTTCTCCTCTCCTCATAATTCCTACTAATTGACCAGTGATAATGACCATTACATCTTTTCTCTCCAGGCCAAAGGCTTTTAATTGGTGATTGAATGAATCTCCCTTAGATGATCCCTTACTCGTGACAGACATCAAAACTCGTCTTACTCAATACTTCCGAGAACATTTACCACCTGATGCTCCCTCTCCGGTAAATTGAGGTCCACATATTTGATCTGCTGAAATTTTATCAAGCATACATCACCCTGTAAAAAACAATGTAATGAGAGGTTCCTCTCACTCCTAAGCCAAATCAAGAAGCTCTTATCACTTATCACTGGCCTATAAAGACACCCTAGCTGAAGCGGATTTCCAATGTCTGACTTCCCTCTACTCGTAACTGTACTTTCTGACCTTTTAAATTGGTCTAAATGTTTTCTTATGAGTTTGGCAACAAAAAGTGTAAAATGTTAACAAGGGCACTTCGAGACCGAAGACTTAAAATATATGTCAGTAAGATTCATTCAGAACATACACTATTCTGCAACATCTATATCGACGCCTTTAAGGACTACTAAACATCCCTCTACATCTACAATATCAACACGAATGGATGCTTCATGAAGGCACTGAACCCTTCCTACACAAAACATGCTCACACGTGTACACACTATTACACTTATTGTTACACCAGTGTCTTCACATCTGGCAACCCTCCAAAAACTCTTTAAAGATGTGCTGTGGTGGATAATTGAATCTTGCGTCAAATATTTTAATAATCAAAGGATTATAGTGTTTATAGGTATTGAGTTGTGAGTATAGTGCACACAATAAAATGTTACAGAAGTCCTAGATAAATTGTGATTCATTAACAGCATGACTCAAGGTGAATTGAGAACTTTGAGCTTCCACGATATTGATCAGAAATGATGACGTGTATAATTCCTTTCAGTTAACTCCTACATTGCTAGATACGAAGGAAAAACATAATTATGCGAATGCTAATATATAAATAAGTGTATATCCTTTGCAGTGTGACAAATGCGTGGATCTTCATATTATTTGGATGCAGTGTTAAAATTGAAAATTTTAATTTCTAGAATGCACAATGCCAAGGTGTGGCTATCTCTGTTACTAATCGTTAAACCATGACACTTCTCATAACTCTTACATCTCTATGGCTTTAAAGGCTTGAACACACCTTTGCTATAGACATACAAAGAAATCAATGCAATAAACTTATTTGGATAATGCTAATCTTATCTCACAGGATTTATTTGTTCTCTGTAGGCTGGTGTCTCATCGTGCCAGTCTGATAGTACAGGAGATTTGAGATCTAATGCTATAAAGTATGTATTCTATTATTTTTCTTTAATGTAAAGGTTTATTTACAGAATGTAAAATGCCAAATAGACTGCACACCTGCCTTATGGATATACTACAATACAACGTTCTAAGAGCTGTTAAAGGGAGACTGTCACTTTCGTGAATTATTACAATAATGCTTACACGTTCCTGTAGTTAACATTGATGTATGTATGAAAAATTAAATTAGACACTAAAATCCACATTTCTTTATCCTGCAATTGGGTGTCTCCATCTTAGCCTCCTGTCAATTATTGTTAAAAGCTCTGACCTTTTGCATTTGGTGGTCAGTATAGGGAGAGCATACAGAGAAGAAATAAAACAATGTTTCAGTTTCTCCTCTTCATTGGAAATGTTTGCCCTGGCTTTGCTTTTACTGCTTTTTCTCAGCTGGATTATGATGTCATCAATATCAAATTGAAAGAAAATGCAGCATCTCTTGAAATAATGGTTGCCACAAGTTGATTTTAAATGTTTTTTTTAATAGTGTATATTCCAGAGACGTTACAGTTCCCCTTTAATAATATCCTTTGTGTTTGTCCAACAACAAATGTTCTATCAAATAGTAGTTTGGGACCTTTCCTCTTCAATATTAGCACCAGCAGGAGAGAACAATACCAAGTGGAAAGCTACAACTTCTATATGAGATTAAATAGATATTAAAGGGATACTATAGTTACTATAACAACTTTAGCTTAATGAAGCAGTTTTGGTGCGTAGATCATGCCCCTGCAGTCTCACTGCTCAATTGTCTGCCATTTAGGAGTTGGATCAATTTGGTTATGCAGTCCTAGTCACATTTTCCTTCTTGTAACTTACAAATCCTTCCTAAACACTTCCTGTAAAGAGTCATCTAGTGTTTATACTTCCTTTATTGCAAATTCTGTTTTAATTTACATACAGGGGCCTCCTGTATGTAATTAAAGTTCAATTTATAAAGCAGGGGATAAAAACTTGTTTTAAAGTAAGTTATATCTGATTTAAAACGAAACCTTTTCTTTTTCATGCAGGCTGTGTCAGTCACAGTTAGGGGAAGGTACAGTTAGGACTACATAAGAATAAGCAAAAGTGATTACTAAGTGGCCGTGAACTCTTAGTGCTCGATTTTATTGCTTAAACAAGACATTAAAATTCTAGTCCAGTTAATGGCCAACAGATTCCATTCCTTTCCGCCAGACATGATACCTCCAAACGATTACAATAATATGCATCTGCAAAGTAATAGCAACCATAATTAACCCCTTAAGGATGACGGGCGTTCTATGCCGTCCTTAAGGAGCCGAATCTCCACCATCCAACCCATTTACCCGATCGTCGTCTTTCTCTTGCCGGCGATCCGCACTGGTCCAGGTCTGGTGGGACTGTTTGACAGCCCAGACAGTCCCCCCCCGCCCCCCCCGGCAAATACACTTAGAATTAAATTACACACATGTGTATATATAATAACTATATATAATATATATAATAACTATATACAGGGAGTGCAGAATTATTAGGCAAATGAGTATTTTGACCACATCATCCTCTTTATGCATGTTGTCTTACTCCAAGCTGTATAGGCTCGAAAGCCTACTACCAATTAAGCATATTAGGTGATGTGCATCTCTGTAATGAGAAGGGGTGTGGTCTAATGACATCAACACCCTATATCAGGTGTGCATAATTATTAGGCAACTTCCTTTCCTTTGGCAAAATGGGTCAAAGAAGGACTTGACAGGCTCAGAAAAGTCAAAAATAGTGAGATATCTTGCAGAGGGATGCAGCACTCTTAAAATTGCAAAGCTTCTGAAGCGTGATCATCGAACAATCAAGCGTTTCATTCAAAATAGTCAACAGGGTCGCAAGAAGCGTGTGGAAAAACCAAGGCGCAAAATAACTGCCCATGAACTGAGAAAAGTCAAGCGTGCAGCTGCCACGATGCCACTTGCCACCAGTTTGGCCATATTTCAGAGCTGCAACATCACTGGAGTGCCCAAAAGCACAAGGTGTGCAATACTCAGAGACATGGCCAAGGTAAGAAAGGCTGAAAGACGACCACCACTGAACAAGACACACAAGCTGAAACGTCAAGACTGGGCCAAGAAATATCTCAAGACTGATTTTTCTAAGGTTTTATGGACTGATGAAATGAGAGTGAGTCTTGATGGGCCAGATGGATGGGCCCGTGGCTGGATTGGTAAAGGGCAGAGAGCTCCAGTCCGACTCAGACGCCAGCAAGGTGGAGGTGGAGTACTGGTTTGGGCTGGTATCATCAAAGATGAGCTTGTGGGGCCTTTTCGGGTTGAGGATGGAGTCAAGCTCAACTCCCAGTCCTACTGCCAGTTCCTGGAAGACACCTTCTTCAAGCAGTGGTACAGGAAGAAGTCTGCATCCTTCAAGAAAAACATGATTTTCATGCAGGACAATGCTCCATCACACGCGTCCAAGTACTCCACAGCGTGGCTGGCAAGAAAGGGTATAAAAGAAGAAAATCTAATGACATGGCCTCCTTGTTCACCTGATCTGAACCCCATTGAGAACCTGTGGTCCATCATCAAATGTGAGATTTACAAGGAGGGAAAACAGTACACCTCTCTGAACAGTGTCTGGGAGGCTGTGGTTGCTGCTGCACGCAATGTTGATGGTGAACAGATCAAAACACTGACAGAATCCATGGATGGCAGGCTTTTGAGTGTCCTTGCAAAGAAAGGTGGCTATATTGGTCACTGATTTTTTTTGTTTTGTTTTTGAATGTCAGAAATGTATATTTGTGAATGTTGAGATGTTATATTGGTTTCACTGGTAATAATAAATAATTGAAATGGGTATATATTTGTTTTTTGTTAAGTTGCCTAATAATTATGCACAGTAATAGTCACCTGCACACACAGATATCCCCCTAACATAGCTAAAACTAAAAACAAACTAAAAACTACTTCCAAAAATATTCAGCTTTGATATTAATGAGTTTTTTGGGTTCATTGAGAACATGGTTGTTGTTCAATAATAAAATTAATCCTCAAAAATACAACTTGCCTAATAATTCTGCACTCCCTGTATATTGTGTATATATATATATATATATATATATATATATATATATATATATATATTTAAGTGTTAAAGACCACTTAATGCCATCTCACATATATATTATTCTTATTATAGTCAAAATTACCATCCTAACTCCTCCCACAGTTTTTACACTACATAGACAGTAATATACCGAAACGTGCGGATTGTTCCCGATCGGATTGCTATTCCTTTGTGGAACGTTTCACCGAATGGTTCACGGAATATCGTCGTTCTTGTGGCGAAATTGGTCCCATAGGAATGAATGGCAAAATGTTCAAAACTAGAGTGGGAGCTAGCAAAAGCTGAAAACTTAGGACATGATTTCTAAACTGCCACCACTCCCTCATTTTCAAGCCCACCTACACAAATCTTATATCAAAACGTTCAGCTATCCCTGCTGCCACTAAGCCATAGTCCTGATAGTTTTCACAATATGACCATTTGTTTGCAACTCACGCCGTCCATTGACATTCATTGAAAATCCACTCCAGCCAGCTTAAATTTGAAGGGCAATTTCTAAACTGTGACTGTGCCTTCATTTCTAATACTTCAGAGACATACTATGCATCAAAATGTAGGCCTGGGTCTTGTGATTCTCACAATATAAAGCTCTTCGCTGTAGGATTTATAGTTTTTAAAATACGACCATTTGAACATGGCAACCGCCAAAATACTCTGACCTGTGTCAGGCTGGAGCAGCAAGTGATGTCATAGCCTTTTGTACACCTGCTAATGTTTTTATAAATGTATGTTTTAATGTAACTGTGAAGCACTTTGGGCAACAACGTTGCAATTAAATGTGCTATATAAATAAATAATAACAGTTACTCCGCCCACTCCAGTTGTAGACTACTGGTGGAGGCAAGAACACTTCACACAATTTCCCCAGAAATTGTAGCTTTTCTAGTATTATAAAATATAAATAATACGTAGATAAATATAAATAATAAAATAATTGTAAAAACATTCAGAAATTGTATATATATATATATATATATATATATATATATATATATGTGTGTAATTTCATTTAAAATGAATTTTGATATAAATATATATATATTCATATCAAAATACACTTGGAATGAAATTTTATATATATATATATATATATATATATATATATATATAAAATTTTTGAAAAAATACAAAACATAAATATATTTATATACAAAATGACTTAAATAATTTTATAAATACACACGTAGACCTCAAATGTCTGTATGTATATATACACTGCTCAAAAAAATAAAGGGAACACTTAAACAACACAATGTAACTCCAAGTCAATCACACTTCTGTGAAATCAAACTGTCCACTTGGGAAGCAACACTGAGTGACAATCAATGTCACATGCTGTTGTGCAAATGGGACAGACAACAGGTGGAAATTAAAGGCAATTCGCAAGACACCCCCAATAAAGGAGTGGTTCTGCAATTGGTGACCACAGACCACTTCTCAGTTCCTATGCTTCCTGGATGATGTTTTGGTCACTTTTGAATGCTGGCAGTGCTTTCACTCTAGTGGTAGCATGAGACGGAGTCTACAACCCACACAAGTGGCTCAGGTAGTGCAGCTCATCCAGGATGGCACATCAATGCGAGCTGTGGCAAGAAGGTTTGCTGTGTCTGTCAGCCTAGTGTCCAGAGCATGGAGGCGCTACCAGGAGACAGGCCAGTACATCAGGAGACCTGGAGGAGGCCGTAGGAGGGCAACAACCCAGCAGCAGGACCGCTATCTCCACCTTTGTGCAAGGAGGAACAGGAGGAGCACTGCCAGAGCCCTGCAAAATGACCTCCAGCATGCCACAAATGTGCATGTGTCTGCTCAAATGGTCAGAAACAGACTCCATGAGGGTGGTGTGAGGGACCAACACCGTGCAGGACATTTGGCATTTGCCAGAGAACACCAAGATTGGCAAATTCGCCACTGGCACCCTGTGCTCTTCACAGATGAAAACAGATTCACACTGAGCACATGTGACAGACATGACAGAGTCTGGTGACGCCGTGGAGAACGTTCTGCTGCCTGCAACATCCTCCAGCATGACCGGTTTGGCAGTTGGTCAGTAATGGTGTGGGGTGGCATTTCTTTGGTGGGCTACACAGCCCACCATGTGCTCGCCAGAGGTAGCCTGACTGCCATTAGGTACCGAGATGAGATCCTCAGACCCCTTGTGAGACCATATGCTGGTGCAGTTGGCCCTGGGTTCCTCCTAATGCAAGACAATGCTAGACCTCATGTGGTTGCAGTTCCTGCAAGACGAAGGCATTGATGCTATGGCCCGCCTGTTCCCCAGACCTGAATCCAATTGAGCACATCTGGGACATCATGTCTCGCTCCATCCACCAACGTCACGTTGCACCACAGACTGTCCAGGAGTTTGCAGATGCTTTAGTCCAGGTCTGGGAGGAGATCCCTCAGGAGGCCATCCACCACCTCATCAGGAGCATACACAGGTGTTGTAGGGAGGTCACACAGGCACGTGGAGGCCACACACACTACTGAGCCTCATTTTGACTTGTTTTAAGGACATTACATCAAAGTTGGGTCAGCCTGTAGTGTGTTTTTCCACTTTAATTTTGAGTGTGACTCCAAATCCAGACCTCCATGGGTTGAAAAATTTGATTTCCATTTTTTAATTTTTGTGTGATTTTGTTGTCAGCACATTCAACTATGTAAAGAACAAAGTATTTCAGAAGAATATTTAATTCATTCAGATCTAGCATGTGTTATTTTTGTGTTCCCTTTATTTTTTTGAGCTGTGTGTGTATGTGTATATGTGTGTGTATGTATATATATATATATATATATATATATATATATTTAAATTCTATGTGCATATTTTATGTAATATTTTGACACAATTAAGTAATTTTAATTTTAATTTGAGGGACGTGCCTGACAACCCAGGCAGAAAGTCCAGAAAATTTTATTTGTTAGCACTATATTTAACCCTGTAACTTTCTAAGACACCCTAAAACCTGTACATGGAGGGTACAGTTTTACTCTAAAGACTTTGTTAAATACAAATATTAGTGCTTAAAAACAGTAAAACGTAACACAACGATGATATTGTCAGTGAAAGTGAAGTTTTTAAATTTTTAACACACAAATGGCACTTTTACTAATGATATTATTGTCATAATATGTTTTACTGTTTTGAAACACTAATATTTGTGTTCAGCGAAGACTCCTGAGTATAACAGTACCCCTCATGTACAGGTTTCATAGTGTTTTTGAAAGTTACATTGTCAAATATAAGGCTTGCCTGTCCGTTTTCACATTGAAATTTGCCAGATTGGTTGTTTCCTTTCAGAGCATATGGTAGACCAGGAATGAAAATTACCCCCATGATGGCATACCATTTGCAAAAGTAGACAATACATAATATATGTATTGACAATCATAATATTATGATTCATATATGAATAGTTCCTGAAAATGAAAAGCCCTGTTTCTCCTGAATAAAATTATATATTAGGAACTTGATGGACGCAAGTCTCTATTCAGCTATGTAACTATGTAACTATGTAATATATAATAAGTGTGGGTGCATATAATATGAAAGAGGTGAATTACGGTTGAACAGACATGTAGCGCAAATTCCAGTTTTTGTTTACATTTTGTTTTGATCACAACGTGTACAACTGGCTTAGTCCTTAAGGGGTTTGACAGGACTGACCTCATCCTGACACACACACCAAGGTTAGAGACAAGCTAAGAATGCGTACTGATCCTGAGAGTGGTCGGACTAGCATAGAGAATAAAAGTCAGAACGTCTGCAGGTAGACACAGAATAAATGTAAAGAGGCCAAGGATAATAGGGGTAAACGAAAACAATTAAACAATAAACAAGCCAAGGTCAGTGTTACAGAGAGTAAGAATAGTCAGGCAAGTCAAAGTGAAATACCGGGTAAGTACTAGACAATAACGCACTATTGAGTATACAGAAACCACGATAGGGCAGGGAAATAGGAAGAGCCAGGACGTAATATACCCTATACTGTGTACTGATTGGTTACTGGTGTGTGTGATGTCATGCTAGAGATAGGCATCATAAAAAAGTACCAGGTATCTTTAATTATAAAATGGCACATGAATGACGTCAGAACGAGGTATCATGTCTGGATGTGCGGGGAGTGCAGAAGGCCAAATGTGAAAGTGTCAACATATCGCAACATATAGTTCATAGAATGTTTTATTAAACTTGCTCTCTCTCTACAAAATCAAATCTTTTTGAACTTTATAATCTCGGACCTCTTTTTACTCACTGACTGACTGGGGTTGCAGCACAGTTTGCCTCTCCCTCTTTACCGTTTGACTTTGCCCTCTGCTGTGTTTGTCACTTAACATCTTTTGTGTAGTTCAGTGTCTGGATACTATATGGACAGAAATATCATTGATTGCATTTGCAGACAATGTTCTCCTTCATTTACCAACATGTGCTTGGCTATGCCATACGTTTCAGATATTATTTCCTCAAAAGCACTTATGAATCCACTTTTAAAAGAAAAGTTAAGGATAACTCTATATTTTCTCGAGTGTGTCACTCTCTGGAAGTGCTTTCTTGATAAATTTCAACCATGTACAATGTCTAGGAAGGAACAAATGACGATAGCTTATAAAACACACTGCACTTGCCTGTAACTGTATTCAGAATTCCTGCAATATTTCTTAGTGCTTTAAGAATAAGCCAGACTGTGCAATGACAAGAACTAATTGTACCTCTCACAGCTAACATAAACAAGCTAAAGGAAAATCTTCAGTAAGTGTATGGACGCTAAGGTGAAAAATGCC